CTCACTCTCACTCACTCTCACTCTCTCTCTCTCTCTCTCTCTCTCTCTCTCTCTCTCTCTCTCTCTCTCTCTCTCTCTCTCTCTCTCTCTCTCTCTCTCTCTCTCTCTCTCTCTCTCTCTCTCTCTCTCTCTCTCAGTGATGGGTCTCCACTCAGACACAGCCCTGAGTGATGGGTCTCCACTCTGTGGCCTGGCCTTGCCTTGGCCCTGAGCGGAGAGTCGTCACCCGTATAATTCTCAAGGCGGAAGCTACAGTTTCTAACGCTTATCCAGTCATTAAAATGTTCATGGTGACATTTCCATACTCGTTAACAGACCCAGTAGTATGGCACTGAGAGAGAAGTAATATAAGCCTAACATGTACAGTGTGTATATATATACAGTGGTTACCTGTCCCCCGACACAATGAATTATGTTAATAAATATTGCCAATTGATCCCTTAACGGCTGCCTGGTACCGTTGCCAGAGGTCCGAGAATCTTATCTCATATAAGGCGTCCAGCTTATATAATTGTTGTTATCTCGACAAGTGACTTCATAACACGGAACGTTGTTACTGTCCACTAATGTCACGATTTAATGTTTCATGTTATGAGTCTCCGCGGGGTATATGGTACCCTCATCATGGGGGTCCACTACCACCCACAGGATGAGTATAGGGTCCACTGCCAACCACAGGATGGGTATGGGGTCCACTACCACACACAGGATAAGTATGGGGCCCACTACCACCCACAGGATGAGTATCGGGTTCACTACCACCCACAGGATGAGTATGGGGCCCACTACCACCCACAGGATGAGTATGGGATCCACTACCACCCACAGGATGAGTATGGGGCCCACTACCACCCACAGGATGAGTATGGGATCCACTACCACCCACAGGATGAGTATGGGGTCCACTACCACCCACAGCATGAGTATGGGGTCCACTACCACCCACAGGATGAGTATGGGCCCACTACCCCCCACAGGATGAGTAGGGGATCCACTACCACCCACAGGATGAGTATGGGGTCCACTACCACCCACAGGATGAGTTTGGGGCCCACTACCACCCACAGGACAAGTAGGGAATCCACTACCACCCACAGGATGAGTATGGGGTCCACTACCACATACAGGATGAATAGGGGATCCACTACCACCCACGGGATGAGTATGGGGGTCCACTACCACATTCAGGATGAGTAGGGGGTCCACTACCACCCACAGGATGAGTATGGGGTCCACTACCACACACAGGATGAGTATGGGGGGTCCACTACCACACACAGGATGGGTGGGTGGTAGTGAACACTATAGCAGGGGTACCATACATCCTTTTTGACTGCCCTGTCTATTCCCCTGAGTATTTTGTATGCGGTATGTTTTGTTCTGCCCGTACACGTAGTTATAAATATATCATAACACTCTTTGTTAGTGATTTCTGTCTTTTGAGTGTGAGTTATTGCTCGTCTCAGTCCCAGTTCCTAAAATAGAATGGTTTTGACAACCCCTCATTTTAAAAATTACGTCGCTTTTTGCTCGTATGCGCACTTAGGTAATTCAACGTGAAATCGGCTCACGAAAGTGACAAAGAAAACCCTTTTTCTGTTTTGGGTCCTTGGGCTTAGGCTGTTAGGTTATCTTGAGATGATTTCGGGGCTTGGCGTCACCGCGGCCCGGTCCTCGACCTGGCCTCCTTTTTGTTACAAACCCCCAGGAAGCAGCCCGTAGCAGCTGTCTAACCCCCAGATACCTATTTACTGCCAGGTGAACAAGGGCATCAGGGGTGAAAGAAAGTGCCCATTTGTTTTCGCCTCCACTGGGGATTGAACCTGGAACTTTAGGACTACAAATCCCGAGTGCTGTCCACCCAGCTGTCATGCCCCAGGTTAAGTTAGGAGAGGAAACTTTCAATTAACGATTTTTCTTACATTTTGAAACCTTAGGAGAACTTCCTGCCCTCTTAACCTACCAAAGGACCCTTAACTTGCTGTATTGGAAACAAAATTCCAAAATTTAGTTGGTAGATAAATTTCCATTTTGAATTACGTCTATATTTGGCCGTAGCGCATATGAGCGAAAAGCGACGTACAGTAATTTGTAAGAGGACGAGTTGGTCTTATAGATGGGAAGGCCAAAGCCTAGTTCAGCTTCAGGTTTATCACCTGCAGCTTCAGCCGTCCTGCATGTAGCATCATCATGCTGGACAACACCTTTGGGAGATGGCATCCATACAGATGAGATTCTTGAACTCTAGCACCGTGCCTCGGTTATGTTGTTTATAGTTGATGTTAAAACATTCCTACTATCTATAGTGAATGTTGGACTTTCAAGTTTTTATTGTTATTTTCTATCACAGATGTTAGACGCCTAAGGTTCCCCAACGTTAAGAAACGGTCGTACTAAAGTGCCCCTTATCCTAAAGTATCAGAGGACCCGAAAAAAGGAAACGGGACAATACGTCAATTTCGCGAGTTGCTACTATTTTGTAGTACGACAATTTTTGGCCTTAAGTAGAGTATATGTCAATATGCGACGTTCTATTAGGAGGGCGGATTGCATTTATAATGCTACTCCATGGACAGTGTTAGAGATATGTTAAATATATGGTTTAGTGATTTATTGAAGAATCAACCACAGGTGATTGTAGTGCTTTTAAAAATGCAAATCTAACCTACGTTCATAAATTTATAGATTTTAAAGTGCTTGAAAGCTGAACTTAAATCACAGAAATTTTTGTGTGTTTTTCAGTATGTTAATGGTTGTTGTTGTGGTGCAGGTAATTCTGTTTGTGTGGAACAAGGTCACTTGTTCAGTCCTACACTAGTAGTCTCGTTATATCTGTTGTTTTGTTTATATTACAGCAGTGCGACCTAATGACATTTGCACAGGAACACTGCAGGTCTATACTGGCCTATGTGGGGAAGGAACACTAGTAGGCCTACTGGCTCATGAGAGGTATTTGCTTGAGGAACATTATTTGGTAGTTTCTTTCACTTGTCTGTTTGGATTAATTGTTTTCCAAAATCCCTTTTAAATATCTTATCAGTTAAATTTGAAGCTGATAGTTTAATGTTGTTCACTCATCAGTATACACCCATTATTACTGTACCATCCGCTAGTACACCAGGTTAAGTACCGTTGGGTGTGGTCGGTAACTGGATGGTCGGTAACAGCCTCACCTCTGGCAAGGCTGATCTGGATAAACAAACCAACGGACTTTATAACTGCGCTCTTGTGTAAGTTAACCCTTCGCGACATGCATCCGGTTAAGTAATTATCAAGAGAAAGTACTAAGTCGGTCTGACTAAATAGCACTATAGATCCGGTTTAGAGCAACAGAGCACAACGTTTAACAGCATCAAAGAGCATGTTTCCTTTTTCTTGATGCAGCAACCGTTGTCCGCCCGCAAACGTTCGAGGCAAGTGGGAAAAAAAAGACCATCTCTGAGAACACCCATTGCAAAATACTCTTGCTATTTGGAATTCAAAATGGCGTAGTAATAAAATAAAATATTTTCAAAGCTTCCCCAAAAAATTCTTTGCAAACTATTAAATCAAACTAATAATAATAAACTATCATGTTATGGTGGAGAACAAATGTCTTTCTTAGCACATTAGTCTACGTCCTCTAATGAACAAATCCACAAGGGCCGTGACGAGGGTTCGAACCTACGTCCGAGAGCATCCCAGACGCGCCTTAATCAAGGATCTCATATCCTTGATTACGTCCTCTATTCGTAATCAAGGATCCCAGACGTTACAAATGGTTGGGCAAGTTCAAGTATGTTTATCGAGACAAGAAAAAAATACTTCTCAAAATGGATAGAGTAGCTTAGGCTATTTCTACCCCCCCCCCCTCCCGTTGGGCAAGTTTCCTTTCATCTCGTATCGTTGTTTACCTAGCAGTAAAATTGGTACTCTGGAGTTAGGAAATTATTGTGAGTTGCATCGTTGACCTAGGGTGGGATCTCTATAAGCCCAAGTACAGCTTACTGTCCCTGGCATGTAGAGTTGGCATTATGCGCAGCGTATTGAAGAGAATAGTAAGAACAAGGATAAAACAAAACCAAGAATATTAATAGCAACAATTGGATACAATAAAGAATGGGAAGAAAATGGCAACAAGGAGAATAAAAATAATCAAAAGGATTTTTTTTGGCAGTTTCACAATACAAGAATTTTCAGTAGATGGTTCGTGACAAGAGATGGCCGAGATTACATCAGTTTGTGGCATGGATATTTGATAAAAAAAAAATCCAAAACTGCGTTGTCTCACTTGCCGTCGTGTACCTCCTTGTAGAATGTCTCGAATTTCTGGACGATCTTGTCTGCGTTCCATAATGTCCCTGCTACAAAATACTTGGCGACTGATGCCTTTGATATCTCTCGCCTGTGCTCTTTTCTCCTCTTATTGGCACGTTCAGCGATATTTAGAGCCTGTGTTGTTACGGGCTCACCATAGCCCATGTTACTTTTAACTTTGTTCGCGTAGCCGGTTAAAACCCAACTACCACTTTGTCTTTCGGGCTTTGTACTTTCTATTAATTACTTTCCTTCAAATTCGTTTATTGCACCGAAATCCAAGTATATGGACAGCCTAGTTTGGATGCCATGATGAGTTGCCTCAAGTCCCCTTTGTAAGTAGAACGTACACTACAGACCCCACTTCGTTGTAGCTATTGTCTTAATATTTAAATTAGATACCCAAGGACTCTGAGACCGGAAACCTCATTGTTCAATGCCCTGAATCCTGTGAATTTAGTAGAAACGTGTCTTAAGGAAATGTGCAATAGGACGTGACAGTATTATGCAGGGACTTTGAAAAAGTTGCCCATTACGCCTAAAAAAAAATTATATATATATATATATATATATATATATATATATATATATATATATAAGGAAGCTTAAATATTCATAATTCCGCGTATCACTGAATAAGATCACGTAGCCTAGCACCTACAGCTGATCACCGACGCGGGGGGGGGGGGGGATAGAATACAAGCTTAATCTCTTTGTTTTTATTATAAAAATAAAAGAATTGTAATTCTAACATCCTGAGTATTCAAGCTGCAACCATTTTTTACCTAATGGTTGAAATAAGTTACGCCTCAATGCTTAAAATTATAAATGTCTTCGGCAAGAGATTTATTCATTTTCCTTTCAACCGCATTTTACATCAAGCACTAATCTTTGGTCTTTCCAAATTGACAAATTTATGTTATAAAGGTAATGTGTATATTTATACAAATAGTTTTATCCTAACAAAAATACTCTTTGGTGACATTAAGTCATTACACAACATACAAATTTCAGTACAGTATAATAAAAATGGAATGGTATTACATTATGAAGTTTATACAATTAAACGTGTACTTGGCAAGAATATAATTCAAAAGACAATTCAGGACATTTATATGCGGCCGTGGCTTGCAGCTCTGAGGGGGAAGCTCTAAATATCTTCCCACAAAGTTACAGGTTATTTAATGCAAATTGGGGTTGGAACACATTTAAACTATAGTACGTGCAAAAATCCTAGAAAGACTGATCTGCCAGGAGTAAAATCTAGGATGAATAAATCTAATAATCCGATGACAGACTTTGGTACCACAGCATGGTAATTATGCTGTGGGAAGGTTTGAGGAGAAAAAAATTGCAGTTTGGAGGACACTGCTATAGAGGTTAGGGCATCCTGTCCCAGACTATTCCGTAGTTATATGATTGGGAGTATTTCCAGGTTACCGACTAATAAAGCATCGACATGGATTCTTACAGACGCATAAACGATCACATAGTAAATTTATGCAAACTCCTTAATGACTAGCCACGCAACACGCGTGCCTAGTTATGCGAAGTTATTGTTGAATGTTAAGCCCCAGACTTCTGACGACAGAAATGAGTCTCTCCTTGTTACGAAAAAGCTGTTGGAATAGAAATAGTTTTTGTTTGAGATCCAAATTCTCTTGTTTAAGGCGGTTTCTTTCCTGCAGGACCTGCTGGGAGGAGCACGTAGTCAGTACGGCCGGTACCCTGTCCAAGGGCACTGCGTAGACTGGCACTACGATCACACCACCTGACGCAGAGGGTTCACTGCTGTTACTTCCATGCGCTACAGCGGCCGGTACGAAGGTAGTTCTTTGTGGCATCTCTGCGTAAGCGGCTGTTGGAGGATATTCTTGCCCAACTCTCTGCCTTTTAGTGGGTGGAAAGTCACCTGAAGTTGCCACAGCCTCGGTGGAATCCTCGGGTCGCGGGTGTTTACGGGTAGCCGACACAACGTTATTATTAGTAGACTGCATCCTCGCGTGTGTCAGCATGGGAATTGTCGCCGTTTGTGGAATTGAAGTTGAGCGTGGCGCAGCAGCCGCTGGTGATGGTGGTACCGGAGAAACTTGTGGTTTTAGCTCCGCGCGGTCCATATTAGAGGTGGCGGGGAGGCGAGTATGGTGGCAACAGGGAACTCTGGGTACCGGTACCATGGCTGCCAGAGCAGACACTCTGGAGAGGTCCGCGAGGACTGTATGCTGGACTCTGTTAGTAGTAGTGCTATTGTTAGGAATACGGACCAAGGAACGCGACAGGCGCGGTTCCAAGTAGGGAGCGACCATTGTCGAAATTCTTTAGTGTTGCTTTAGAAGAAGACTTGCTTGATAGCGACCACTTTGCTCTGGAAAAGGAGAAATTATTATTAGGCAAATAATCATTAATATTAGCAGTTTACATATTTACTCAATTCTTTAATCTTCACAGGAATTCACTCAGGTATTACCATCTTAATTTTAAACAAATTATGGCCAAGTCTTATCACGAGTAATTATAATGTAATTCTAGGACATTTTACGTTTTAGGCCCATCAAACACATTCTATTTTTAACTACATATATTAAACTAATGCAAAGTATTGTCGGGAACAGGCAGCCTGTGTATACGTAAAGACTCTTCAACATCACTCAAGGTCGAATTATTGACCCTACCTAGCATGCCACACCACAGCAGCCTAGTAACCGTTACCTATTGATGGCTAGTTGAACAGGAGTGGTTGGTGAAAGGAAACCACGGCTAACCATTTGCCTTGCACGGCAATCCCACTTATAAATATTTATATTTAGAGAGTCTAGTTATGATGATTAAATAAAGTTCGTTCTAAACAAGTAATTAGTGTTAATAAAAGAAGGAATTGACAATTTAATAATTTATTTTGTCAGGGAACATACAGCCAGTATCCACAAGATGGGTATGGGATGCACAATAAATGAAAAAAACGGTGTATATATATCATACAGGTTAGGTTTATATCTAGGTCCCCCCCACCCCCTAAAAATATAGTAAAAAAAAAAAAAAAATTACAACCGCTTGTTAAGCAAATCTAGTGTTGTTTACCAAGCCAAACAGTGTAGTGTTATGTATACACAACCCTTTAACACTAAACATCAATAAATACACAATACTCACGTATATAATAATAATAATAAATAAATCCACAGCACGTAACTCCTTTTTCGTACAGAGTAAGAGAGAGAGGCGGCCACAGCACACAAGCCTGGTATAAACTGGCTCTGGGCGGCCGGCGACGGCCTTATATACAGCGGCCACACTGTTGGTCGTGATTCAGAGAACGTTTCCCTCTGTTGCAACGGCCGCCTGCGCGCACCCTTCTGCTCAGGTGTCATGGTATTGCGCACTATGCCCCGGTGCCTGTTTATCCTATTATACGTTCCATGATTAAGTAGGGGCTTTACCTAGGTTCTTTATAGTGCGGAGGCATGATGAATGTATTATAATTCTCGTCCCACTATACTGAATCACAGTTATATATTATATAAGAACACTTGGTCGTTACTGAGATATGCGCAAATAACGATGTTTATTTTAACTAAACATCGGAAGTATAAATTATAATATATGTTGATTTAAAAACATCGTTTAAAATGAATACATAATTAAACAATTAAACATCGGATGTCAAACTGGCAACTTTGAGCAGCGTTGCCAACATCCTTGAGACAAAACGTGAGCTTATTGTACTCACCTAGTTGTGCTTGATGGGGTTGAGCTTTGGCTCTTTGGTCCCGCCTCTCAAATGTGAATCAACTGGTGTACATATTTTGGAGCCTATTGGGCTCTATCAAATCTACATTTGAAACTGTGTATGGAGTCTGCCTCCACCACACCACTGCCTAAAAGGGAAAAAAGGAAATTGAGTTTCCCATTGTCAGGGGCCTGAGTCCCTGATAGGCTCTTTTTAAATCCCTTTAGGAGTAATTATCAGTCGACTATCTCCTGGGGTACCTATATTTACTGCTAAGTGAACACAGCTCACAACTAGGTGAGTACAGGCATCAGGAAACGTACCCCTAACATCTGCCTCCGGATTTGAACCCGAGACGGGAATCGAACCTGGAACCTTTTGGTTGTGAACCAACTGCAATAGCCACTTGGCAGTGCAGCCAGCCATGCTCAACAAAAGCCAAAAGAATAGAATCAGCATAGAATCACATAGAAAAGTGATTCTATGCTGCCGTCAAACACCCTATTTATGATTGAACTCTTTACGTGCGACTTACAACTGATGACGTCCGAACACTTCCAGAACAATTGCTTCGCTTGACGACTTTTGTTTGAACCAGAATGCTGCAAAATGCTTCACCCACGTACTACAAATACAAATAATCGCCACAGAACCTAAACACCTAACCTATGCCTAAAGGTGCCCAATATGCTAATATATATTAATTTATATTTGAGAAAATTGCTATTTTGAATGAACAGCGTGTTAAAATTGATGAATACGTATGTGGGGTCGACCGCTGGATGGAATGAAGATAGCCGCGTGAGGACAGGTTGTTAGTACCCCCTCCTGTATTCTTCAGACGTTTATTTTATCGATGCTCACTACCCGTTCACTACCATGTAAATTGCTTAACCTAAATACCATTTGAGCTCATTTCCTATTATAGGCAGCTGTAAACCTTTCTAGCTGTTAAGTGAGTCAAATTAGTAAAAAGTGTGAATTGTTTATGCATATATTAACAACAAACTCTATAACTAGAACATCAAAGATTTAACCTACTTAGTTAAAATAATGTTGGGGTTCAGTTCCTGAGCCCATTATGTCAAACAAACTGTAACTAAGCAGGGGCAGGTCAAGATGTACCGCATATTCAAGTGTACTTGGAGCCTATATTCACTGACTTGCTCTAGTCTTGAGCATTATTGTTTATTTCGGACGACAATTAACACGCAGGATGGTAGGCTAGTGGGAAGCCTTGAGAGGCGGTTCACTGTTGTTGTCAAGAAGGTATGTTTATCTTAAGACAGTATTTTCCTACCAGCTACTCCGTCTCCAGTGGCCTTGTTGTTGCGGGACAGGAAGCAGGTGGGTTGATCTAACTATTCTGTGGTGAATATGTCACGCTCGCACTACAGTATAATAATATACAATAGTGTATTAGTGTATAGCAACACCCCAGTAGGTCTAAGGTGTTTGTTTATGGGAAGCTTATGTTCTTATATTGGTACAATTAAAGCGTATGATAGGTGGATATAAATAGGAGAAGCCTGCCCAACCACTTGGGCTGGACGGTAGAGCGACGGTCTCGCTTCATGCAGGTCGGTGTTCAATCCCCGACCATCCAAGTGGTTGGGTATCATTCCTTTCCCCCGTCCCATCCCAAATCCTTATCCTGACCCCTTCCCTGTGCTATATAGTCGCAATGGCTTGGCGCTTCCTCCTCATAGTTCCCTTCCTCCTTGTAGGCCTGAGTGTAACCTCCGGAATTGCGATCTTGGGCGTATAATGGGTTTATAATGGAAAAAATTATTATCTCGACTTCTTTGATTTAGGGCTTGGTACCTCACTATTAATGAGTTAACTATATTGAATAGGACTTGCTAATTCATTGCTAACTTGTGTGCAATACTTCCGGCACCAGCTAGGAAGGTATTAATATTATACAGAAGTTTGCGTAATAGATTATTTGTCTATCATCATTATCATTCTGGCGGCAATGTGGCACCATAGAAAGTAATGTCACTAGTTAATATTATTATTATACTAATATAATATTATTATATATTACACTATTATAATATTATATCATTATTACCATTAGGTATAATTGCTGTTATTATTATTATGTTTCACTTAAGACAGAGATGGAGGAGAGGTTCATTGAAGTGTCCATAAAGTGTTTAAAGACACATTAATATTGAAATATATATAAAGAGTTCTAAGATGTATGATCCAAAAATACTAATTTCAACACTTTATAAAATTTCAACACTTTATGTAATTTCAACACTATAAAATTTCAACACTTTATGTAATTTCAATACTTTATGTAATTCCAACACTGTATATTTCCACACATGTGAATATTTCAACACTTATGTGCCTATAGGCCCATTCGAGGCTGCTTCTTTATCCACCTAAACTCATTGATATGTCTTAACCTACAAGTTTCAGCCTCGCTCCTGTGCCAGATAAGTCTATCACGGGCTCACCATAGCCCGTGCTACTTGGAACTTTTAGTTCCCAGTAGCTGAATTTTAAACAACAACAAACGTCTAACCTACGATAGAAACAATTGAGTGACCTCGATAATGTTACACGCAGTAATAACATAAAGAAAAACATAAGAATTAAGGAAAGTACCGCCACTATATATATATATATATATGTTGTACCTAATAGCCAGAACGCACTTCTCAGCCTACTATGCAAGGCCCGATTTGCCTAATAAGCCAAGTTTTCCTGAATTAATATATTTTTTCTAATTTTTTCCTTATGAAATGATAAAGCTACCCATTTCATTATGTATGAGGTCAATTTTTTTTATTGAAGTTAAAATTAACGTAGATATATGACCGAACCTAACCAACCCTACCTAACCTAACCTAACCTAACCTATCTCTATCGGTTAGGTTAGGTTAGGTAGCAGAAAAAGTTAGGTTAGGTTAGGTTAGGTAGGTTAGGTAGTCGAAAAAACATTAATTCTTGAAAACTTTGCTTATTAGGCAAATTGGGCCATGCATAGTTGGCTGAGAAGTGCGTTCTGGCTATTAGGTACGACATATATATATATATATATATATATATATATATATATATATATATATATATATATATATATATATATATATATATATATATATATACACAGATAAATACATAAGGGACGCGCATGTTGTGGGGTTAGCCTAGTGCCTGGGATTATTGACCGAACCTAAGCTGGCGTTCGTGCTGTCCGCCGCGTCGTTCATGGTGGCTCTTGCGACTAGCTCTTTATGCCTTGCCTGGTTCCGTATGTTGACTTATAATATAATTTTTTGATCGGATGAGTTCTTTGTCGAATCCATTAAAGTTGTGCATGAAGGTGGCTTCCAAAATTCCTTTTAGAAGGAATTTCCACTTGACCTCCCGCACCTGCGTACGAGGATTTCCTTACATTTCTTTGACTCATTTGTGTTTCCAGTTTGGTGGTGGTGGTGGCTGTACCTGTGGTGGTAGTAGTGCTTGTGGTGGTGGTTGTGGCAGTGTTAGTAGTCGTGGTGCTGGTAGTGGAGGTGGTGGCGGTACGTGTGGTGGTAGTGCTTGTGGTGGTGGCGCTGCGGGTGGTGACTGCAGGCACGTGCTCCACCACCACCAAGGTCACCAGGAATATATCTTTAGACATTAGGGGTTGTTCTACGCGTCGCAGCGCACTCTCCCATCCCGCGCCTTGGGGAAGGTCAGTACATGGGGACACCTGTGTGTTCTTACACACCTGCCTCTCGCCGCCACCCACATCTGGCTCTTGGGTTGAGGTAACTTGACACATCTCATCAATCTTGGGCAATCTCATCAACTCTTGGGAGCTTACTTGCACCATAACATCAAACTCATTTAGCAATCTGACAAACAGTATTTATTGATTGACTCATAACGTCAACAGAGAGATGGGGTCGACTGATAGATATATTCGATGCAGTAGATTATGGCCCAAACTGTGTTAATTAGATTGATCTTATCAAAGCTTTTGCCACTTCCCCATGATGAGTCAGGTTGGATCTGGATTATGTGGAGCGTTAGACATGCTTGGTTATGTGGAGGCTATGTTGGGTACTATGCAAAATACGCTGTCATAGGATCGGATGCTTTTGGTAAGCGTCGTGAATGCTTTTCGATGAGACAGCATCAAGTAAGACTTAAGTAGGTTTATTCGCTCAGAGGAAGAGTGAAAGGCTCACTCAAGTGTAGTCTGTGTTGCAAGATGTACTTCCTGTCGTGTCAGCGGGAGAGGGGAGGGTAAAGAGCAATATCTTAAACTGAAATTCCCCGTTTTACATCCTGAGAAAGACAGAGGCGGTCAGATAAACGTTTTCTCTCGGTTTCAAAACAGTGGTGCGGATGACGAGGCACTGTTGAAAATGTTTATTGTCCTCTGTCAGATACTGGCAGTCCAACGTTTCGTTACAGTGGTGATTGTACTCACCTATTTGTGCTTGCGGGGGTTGAGCTTTGGCTCTTTGGTCCCGCCTCTCAACTGTCAATCAACTGGTGTACAGATTCCTGAGCCGACTGGGCTCTATTGTGTACGTGTGTGTGTGTTTGTGGTACGTGTGTGTGTTTGTGGTACGTGTGACGTTTGTGTCTTGTGAGTGTGGTACATGTGTCTTATGTGTGTGTGTGTAGTTTGTCCTGGCCGTATGCGTGTAAGTCTGTCCTGAAGATAGTCTGTGTGTTTTCGACAAGTGTTTTCTTGTCTTGGGAGCAGCAGAACACACAGTAAATGCTTGAGGGGTAACAAAAAAAAACAAGAAACAAGTGAATTTGGTAAGATGTATAACCGGTTCTTTGGTTGCTTCGCTGCCGAGAGAGGAACCCGTTCCTCACTTCGCGACATTTAAGCCTCTAGAAACGCCCAGGTCAAAGTAATTTTTTTAACGTAAGGCGTTATCATATTTTTAAACGTACGATAGTTAAGTGTAGATATTATCGCGTGGGTTTTTAATTCATGGAACACACATTATAGATCCTCCAGTAAAGTTATGTCCACTCATCTACTCGTACATTTCAATCACGCCACAACAAACTCTCCACCCGTCTAGAGAATGTAAATCAGGCTTTTTCAATCTCTCTTCATATGGAAGGTTTCTAATTTCCGGGATTAACTTTGTCATCCTACGCTGGACGCGTTCTACTGAATTTATGTCCATTCTATAATATGGCGCCCAGCTGTATACTCTAAATGGGGGCCTAGGAAAAGAATGATATAGATGAACAATAACACCAGGTGTTTTATTGCTAACTCTCCTAGAAATGAATCCCAGTGTCCTATTTGCCTCATCTCGAACATTTATGCATGAATTTTTTTACTTTTAAATTCTCATTAATCATAACTCCCAGATCCCTTTCGCAATCAGACTTGCCAATTTCAGCCCCATCTGATATTCTATAACTTTATCATCTTGATCTAGTTCCAGAACGTTACATTTGTCAGCATTAAACTGTATCTGCTAATCTTTTGACCATTTCAAAACTCTTATCTAGATCGTCTTGAAGTGATTGTGATTCTTCTCTTGACTTTGTTTCCCTCCCGATTTTTGTATCGTCGGCAGATTTACAAATATTTAATTGCTCCTCAATCCTGAATCTAAATTATTTATATAAATATTATGAATAACAGAGGTCCCAGGACAGAGCCTTGAGGCACTCCATTTACACGAACTCTTCGTTTCCTTTTGTATAACCATGCCTTAATCCAACTTAAGATACCGCCTTCAATACAGTAGGCCTCTTATATTTTTAATCAGTCTTTCATGTGACACTGTATCAACAGTTTTGCTAAAGCCAAGGTACACCGTCACAAACCATATGCTGAGTGACAGCAAAATTGTCATTTGTGAATCATTTATTAATCTATGTTTTTCAAGATCTGTGCCTGAGGATCTATAACTCCTATAACTGCTAAAGATAAATCAGCAATTACAACAATCTAGTCCCAAGCAGCACTCGGCATCCTTATTGAAATTCTTGAATATGTAAAATATGTTCACTTCACACATACACTCTTAAGTGTGCAATGTATCTATAGAACTCTCAACTGCAATACTAATCCTGACCTCAAACACTTTGTCAAGGGTTGTAACAGTACCCATGGCCACCACACGAGAAACAAATGTCTCATATTCCAAGAGTGCGTCTTAACTAAATAAACAGTCATGAAAATTAAGGGTCCTTAAATGTGGACTGACCTCCCAAATGAGATTAAAAGCTGTATTTTGCTCAACCAATTTAAACGGGAAACTAAGAAATACACAAATAACATGTAAAAATCTTTCATCCAAAAGCTAGATTCTATTATAGTCTATAGCCTCGTCAATTAAATTTACGCCGCTTGCTAAATTTCTTGAACAGTTTATATATGTTAGATTACTTATTATTTAGTACTGTTTACCCCCAAAAATATAACAATAAATTAAATACATAATTTTGCTATACCCCAAACGCTTTGCGTATTAGTAGTTTTATTTAATGTGCAATCTCTGTACCTTCAAATAAAACACTATAATATGTTCATATGTAAATTATATGAATACAATTATTATTATTTTAGTAATAATACAATTTGTTCATTATTATTTTAGTGTTTGCAGGAAGTCGGTGACGTCATAATTGTCATGCTGGTACAGGTTTGAACTAACACTGAAGAGTGACGTTGCAGTGTGATGACGACATCAGGTTCCAGCTGCCAAGATTGTCCTTTGTTTAATATTTCCGTTCATGCAGTTATTCGTTCTCATTATTAAAAGTCACGTCATTGGTGTTTATATAGATATAATGAATGTTTCAAATAAATGGTCATTATTTCCTTAGCCAAAATACGAGATTTGTAGTAAATGAGTCCCATTTCAGTAGATGGGCACCACTGCTAGCTGTCACTAATTATTGCAACACACCGCAAAATTGTTTATACGTAAGCGGCGTTGTATACATTAACTGAATACATACATTGCGTGTAATGTACCAACTCATGAAATGGTCTTATAAAATATATTATATAGTTTTATTAAAGTAGAAGTTTAAGTGCGTGTTTTGAAAGGTACATCGAAGGTCTTGATTTCTATAAATTTCTCATGTGGCAGAGTTGCCTACAAGTGAGAGTTGCCAGTGACTGCAGGCGTCCGGCCGTACCTCAGCTACTGACCTGTATTTCGCGTCAGTGTCACACTGTCCGTGTCCGCTGCCCTGGGAAGTGTTACACGTGTCCCGAGAAGTGTGCATGACTTGACTACCTCACGGGACATACACAATCAGATGAGACACCGCGCCACGGTGTATGATGAATTATATACACTGAGAGTTTAGTTCTGGATCATGTCCGGGACTAGCTACACCCACACAACACTCCCTGGTGGTGCTATACCCACACACAACACTCCCTGGTGGTGCTATACCCACACAACACTCCTTGGTGGTGCTATACCCACACACAACACTCCCTGGTGGTGCTATACCCATACAACACTCCTTGGTGGTGCTATACCCACACAACACTCCCTGGTGGTGCTATACCCACACAACACTCCCTGGTGGTGCTACACCCACACAACACTCCCTGGTGGTGCTATACCCACACAACACTCCCTGGTGGTGCTATACCCACACAACACTCCCTGGTGGTGCTATACCCACACAACACTCCCTGGTGGTGCTATACCCACACAACACTCCCTGGTGGTGCTATACCCACACAACACTCCCTGGTGGTGCTACACCCACACAACACTCCCTGGTGGTGCTATACCCACACAACACTCCCTGGTGGTGCTATACCCACACAACACTCCTTGGTGGTGCTATACCCACACAACACTCCCTGGTGGTGCTATACCCACACAACACTCCCTGGTGGTGCTACACCCACACAACACTCCCTGGTGGTGCTACACCCACACAACACTCCCTGGTGGTGCTACACCCACACAACACTCCCTGGTGGTGCTATACCCACACAACACTCCCTGGTGGTGCTATACCCACACAACACTCCCTGGTGGTGCTATACCCACACAACACTCCCTGGTGGTGCTATACCCACACAACACTCCCTGGTGGTCCTTTCATAAGGAACATTGTCAAAACAATTTTAACAAGAGGAAAATTCAGTCTATCAAGCTTTCTGTCCTGTCTTAATCTAGTAACCTTGTCATTTTTTATTAAGTTATTTATATATACGAGAGTTCTTACATTCTTGTACAGCCACTAAACGCATGGGATTTTTTGGCATAGAACTCGATGGACTTTGTCAGACATAACTTTCTCTTTATAAATCATTGCAGTCTCTCGTTACAAAGTTTAAGTTCTCTAGGTACTCCATCATGTGGGCAACCAGACTGTTGATGTTGGTCGGTGCCTCCTGTCTCTCCTCCTTACGTGTGTGTATGTGTTTGTGCTGTGTGTACGTGTGTGTTGTTGTGTGTACGTGTGTTGTTGCGTGTACGTGTGTGTGGTGTGAACGTGCGTGTACGTGTGTGTGGTGTGAACGTGCGTGTACGTGTGTGTTGTGTGTACGTGTGTGTGGTGTGAACGTGTGTGTTGTGTGTATGTTACGTGTGTTGTGTGTACGTGTGTGTTGTTGTGTGTACGTGAGTATGAATATGTGTGCGCGTGTTAGGGTGTGTATACGAGTGTGCGCGTACGTGTGTGAGGAAGTGTGGAGGGACGTGGCTGGCTGCACACAGTAGC